ACTGGGAGAAAGCAGCAGAGAGAAAAGGGGTCACAGTGTCACCCATGCGTTATGTGTTCCTTCGAGTGGCTGGGGCTTGCCAGCATCCACACTGCGACCAGGCCAGAGCCACAGGCGAGCCGCAGGCGTGCTGAGGGTGCACAGGGCCCCCAGCCCAAGGCAGGAGCAGAAAGGGCACCCTGTGTTTGAAGAGAAGAAAGCAGATAATCAGTTGACAATGAGTATTTGCTGCTGGTTTTCCAGATTTGGATTCTGAAAAGGGAGCTAGAGAACTCAGATGTTGAATCTTGCCCACAAAGAGGAATTTGAACTAGAAATTTGTAATCCATTTTACTCCTAACATTCCAGGGTAGATATGTTCTCAGGCTAAGGTGTGCTCTGTGTGTGTAAATATATATATATATTTATAAATATAATCTTCGTTAATTCTGGACAGGGGACCCTAAAAGCCGGTAGATCCTTGTCTGCTTCTCCCAACAAGTGAAATAGGGTGCTGTGGGGCTTCGGTTTCGGCACAGCGAGTGCCGCCTCACGAGTGTGGTGCTGGAAGGGAAGCTTTTTATTAAATTCAGCTCTTGAAAGACGACTCAGTCACTAGCTTTATTACTGTACACCTGCTTTCCTCTCAGTGCCCCTTCAGCCCGGCTGTGCTCAGAGCAGGGGCAGCTCTTGTAATAGTCGGGGTGAAGGCCGAGAGATGCACAGGGAGCACCTGGTGCGCAGGGTGGTAGGGCAGTGGGAGGGCAGCGGCACTGGGCTCGGAAGGCTCCAGCCTGGCTCCTCCTAAGCCACAGGTGTCTGTCCTCTGTCCCCCGCGCCTCCTCAGCCACTTCCCTCACCTGCAGCAGAGGCGTTCGTGGCCAGGCGGGAGGCAGGGTGTCCCCTTTGAGAGGGTCTTCATGAGAGTTGTACCTTCTAGAGTTTGATCGTTGCAGGGCATCATATTGTAGAATTAGGAACAAAAATGGCAGTAGCCATGTCACCAAACTTGGTGTCACCAGGCAGAAGACATGAGCAGAAAGTGACCTCAGCCCAGCACTAGTGCCAGCCGGAAGTGACCTCACAGTCAGGGGACTTGAGCCTGAGGCCACCCAGACACCCCAGGAGGGTGAAAGAAGCTGATTCTGGACACAACGGAAACTTGGGCCTGTCTGCTTTTTGACTTGGGGTTTCCACAACGGTACGTTTGAAGAAATATGCTTTCCGTTGCAGCCTAGCACACATGTATCTCTGTGTGTGTGTGTGTGTGTGTGTGTGTGTGTGTGTGTGTGTGTGTGTGTGTGTGTGTTTGAGAGAGAGAGAGAAACCAAATAAGGTGGGATTTTTTTGCTCTCAGTTACATTATCTAATTTAATGAGTTATCAAGGAGGATTAAGAAAAGTGATAAGAAGTGCGGCAAACACAACAAAAGACAGAAGCATGGGAAGTTCCCCAGATGGTGCTGCTCCCGCTGCTGATGGCATGATCAGAGTGAAGGGGGAGGCCCGCAGGTGGGCAGCCCAGGGGTGCTAGGCAGCAGGGCAGAGATAGGCAGGATGACTGGCACGCATGCCCCACCTGGCACAGTGCCAGGAACTGAGCTTCTCCGAGAAGCAGCCTCTGCAAACTGACACAAGCTCGGCGCTGAGGCCTTGCGTGTCTGCCTTGCGCTGCGCAGATCTGCGAGGCACTGAAGTCCGTCCCCGGACCTCACTTATGTTGGTGCATTGCAGAGGATGAGCGCAGCGGAAGGGACACAGCCTGAGCATGTCTCTTGGCCTGACATTCTCCTGCCCCTTTATAAATCTGATCCCTAGGCATTACTTTTGGACAAGTGACCCCTGCTCGGCCGTCGGGGTGGGTGCCGGCAGTAAGCTGCCCTGGATCACACTGGCATTTTCACTGTGGTCTTCCACGTCATTCCCTGGAGAAAAGTGCAAGCAGGGGAGGTTCTCCAGCAGTGGTGCTGTGGGAAGACTATGTGGGCAAGGGACTTTTTGGGGTCTTTCCAGACATTCACAGCGAAGCTGCTGAGTTCAGTGACGTTGGCCCAGGCCTGTCCTCAGGTTTCAAGGGATGGCTTGGGAAGGGGGAGGCAGCCCACAGAGCTCTCTGGCCAGCCCTTGAGGCTGGCTTCATGGAGAAGGGTCGGGCTGAAGGGACAGTGGGATAGGACTCCTCCTTCACCCCGCCGCCAGGAGTGGGCTGGCAAGCACATGTTCAGGTCGCATCACGGGCATTGAAATGTGGCACTGCTGGGGCTGCTGCCGGACAGCGGGGACGCCAGCGCCATCCCGCCATGACTAGGTCTCTGCAGACCCCGCCTGGCCATGTGTCCTGGGGCGCAGTCCCCCTCCTCTCAGGTAAGGTCTCTTATCTCCTGATGACCAGAGTTGTTATACGTGATGCCCTCTGATGTTCTTTTCAGTTGATTTTCACCTTTATAAAATGCCGCCAAATAACTTGATTTCACCATCTACCAGTGGGGTGGCAACAGCTGGGATACACTGTTCTGGTGAATAACGCTGTGGGAACGTCAGCGATTCCCTACAAGTCCACACCATGCGTTACATACGCGACAGCTCACCGGTAATGGTTGTCTTTCGTGATTAAGTTATGTGCTAACTGTGGAGAGTTATTAACATAGAATGACACAGCTTCTCTGGGCATCTTTCCGGTCAGTATGAAGTCGCACTGTTGGAGAGACCTTGCCGACAGTCGCTGCATCCCTGATTCCCATCTGTGGGCTCCGTCGCGGGGACGTCCGCCACTGGCCCGGGAACCGCGGTGCTTTCTTCACAGCCTCTCTGTTACCACGGTCTTCTGTACACACACAACCCCTACTCACCTACACACACACACAACCCCCTAATCACCTGCACACACACACAACCCCCTACTCACCCACACACACACAACCCCCTAATCACCTGCACACACACAACCCCCTACTCACCTAC